GGAGCTCTGGTTGGGCTGGAGGAGCTCTGGTTGGGCTGGAGGAGCTCTGGTTGGACTGAGGGAGACCTGGTTGGGCTGGAGGAGCTCTGGTTAGACTGGGGGAGCTCTGGTTGAACTGGGAGAGTTCTGGTTGGACTGAGGGAGACCTGGTTGGGCTGGAGGAGCTCTGGTTGGTCTGGGGGAGCTCTGGTTGGACTGGGGGAGACCTGGTTGGGCTGGAGGAGCTCTGGCTGGGCTGAGGACAAGCTATGTCCATCCCTTCCCCAGCACCAGCCACCAATACCCATTTTCTCCCAGACTGACCCAGTGACACCATTTGGAATTGAGGTTCCTGGGCAGAGCTGGCACTCCTGGGTCAGACTGAGTTAATTTTCAGCTTCTGCCCTTTCCCCAGTGACCCGGTTCAGTGCCAGCAGGGCAGGGCTTTGGTGGGACCCTGCTCTGCTCAGACCTGCCCAGCACAGCCCAGCTGCTGCCCCAGTGCCCCAGCCTGGCACAGGCACTGGGGAGTTTCATTCCCTGCTCCTGTCCCTCAGATTTGTCCTTCAGCAGGGCTGTGAGAGGCCCCTGAGGAGCAGAATGAGGTGCAGAGGCGTCCCCAAACCTCCCTCCTGCGGGGAGTGTCAGTGGAGCCCCGGAGCAGGTCCTGCCCCACATCCCCGATGTTCCGAGCCTGCTGGGGGAGGATGTGCTCACACCAGCTCAGGGCACTCTGAGCTCTCTGAGCTCATTTTTATTGTATTCCCAGTTCCCCGGCGCTCTTTGGAGCCAGCCTGACCAGAAGAGGAGGCTCAGCTCTGATTCCTGTGGCAGTGCAGGCTCCCAGATCCCAGCAGTGCCCCAGAGATCCCAGAGGAGTTTATCCCTTGGCTTTGTCCCAGGGGTGCTGCACGCCTGGCTCCTCCTGGGAAAATAAAATGACACCAAAGCCTCACTGATGGGTTTATCCCAGTGTTCACGTGAGAAACGTAGCCAGGGTGAACTTCTCTTTCACAAATCTAAAGGGGTTTTCTTCCTCCTTGAAAAGAGAACATTAAAATCCATGCAGAAATCTGAGAACCACAGGGAATGTTCTGGTACTGCTGCCGTGTGGGAAATTGCTGCCAGTCCCTCCACTTTGTGTATTTTAGAATTTTAGAATATGTTTATATTTTAGCCATATTCCAGCAGTTTTTCCCGTTTGGTGGGGTGCAGGGGCTCAGCTCCTCCAGGGAAATGGGATGTGAGGGAAGGAGGTGCCTGCCTGGGGCAAGGTTCAGGGCTGACATCCCTGTTTTCCCTACCTAGTTTTGTGTGAGGATAGAGAAGAATCCCGGCCTCGGGTTCAGTATCAGCGGTGGAATAAGTGGACAAGGAAATCCATTCAAACCTTCTGATAAGGTGAGTTTGGAATCCCTCCCTCCCTGCTCCTTGTTGCAGAGGTCACAGAGCGGAGGCAGAGAACAATGAGGGGGATGTTTGTGCCTCTCTGTTGGTGGAATTGAATTTCTTTTTTTTTTCCAAACTCGGTTTTGTTTTTGGGGTTTTTTTGGTTGTTTCTTTATTTTAGCAGAGTGTTGTTTGCTTGTTTTCCCAGTTAAAGAAGATGAGGGAATCAAGCATCAATCCCATGAGTGTCTGGCCCATATTCCCTTGACAAGATAATTTTTTGGGCTGTTTTCTGGAGAATTGTCTCCGTCACTTTTTAAGAGTCACCTTAGGCCACAATTAAACTTCTAATCAATTAATTAGAGTATATGATAGTATAGTATAAATTATATATATTATATAGAAAAATATTTTATACAGTATATATTATATTGTATTGTATTGTATTATATTATATTATATTATATTATATTATATTATATTATATTATATTATATTATATTATATTATATTATATTATATTATATTATATTATATTA